ATGCGTATGTTAGCAAATCTAATCGCAGAACACGTTGCGGTTGTTTCAAATTCCATTTAGAAAATACGTAAACAGACGATGCTCTAGACTGTATTGACCATGTCACTATAATCAGTTTAGCTTCGACAACGAACGTAGAAATACATTCTATGTTTTCCTTGGCAAAATGCTTGAAACGAGGAACAGCCCAGTTTGAAGAGAATGCAATTGCATTGATCTTCAGAGAACTCTGGTCATAAAAGCAGCACCAATCGCAATCAGAAACCACGTGATTAGTGGGCCTACTTTGGCAGCCTGTAATTACTCTTATGTTTTCATCACTATTGAGCCAGACAGAGATTGATTTTTGAACAGGCTCCCAGAAAAACCAACCATCCTTCTTAGGTCCTAGCACATCGGTATTAAGTGGATATGGAATTTCATAAATCTCCCGATGAAGACTTTTCAGATTGCAGCAAAAAGCTCGTTTCGGTCTCATTGGCTGATTGCCGACAACCATACTCTGTCCACTAAAATAATAAACACGCTCAACCATGAATGAATCAGGCAATGCTAAACATACAGACACCGCATCAGAAGTGTTCCGTTTTTCAGTGTCATACTTTCTCACTTCAAGCCGTCGATTCCTTTGAGCAACTTCGAAACAGCTGTCTGTAAAACAACCCACGATTGACTTGAATGGCAAGTCCGAAGAGAGTTCAGGTGTTTCCCGGATTTCCGCCTTCATTTCGGCAATTTTAACCTTCAAATTGAACTGCGATTTCTTCACTAAAACTGATGGTTCCAGAGACTCATTTTTCACTCCCGGTAAGTTTAGTTGATCATGCATTTCAGAAAAAAGTTTCTGATCCAAAGACTTGAAGCCTTCTCGAGCTTCAAATTGCTCTTCGTTCATTTGATATAACTTAACTTGAGAATCGGATGTACTTAGGGCTCCAATTTTCGCCTCAACAATCGGAAAAGAATTCACTAAGATTCCGTTTGACTGGCAAAGCAAACCTCGCAAATCACTTTGAGCTTGACCAACACTTGCAACGTGCCGCGCTATCCAGCTCTGAACATCTTCGAATTCTCTAAATTTGGCTCGAATTTCTACAGTCAAGTTCTCTTTGACTTTGTCCAGCGTATCTTCAACTTCTTTGACCAACTTTTCAACTTTCATTTTGTGTATATCAACTATCTTCGAAATAGATTCATTCTTTCCGAGAGCTACTTTCTCATTTTTCTCCCAATCAGTCAACAAATCAAAAACTTTTGCTCGCACCTCAGAAGCCTTTTCATTCAACGATTGGAAGTCGTGTTTACGATGTTTCCCAAGACATTTCGCACAAAAAAGTTCGGCACATGTGATGCAATAGTCTAAGCAAAGTTGCCTATGCTCCGAGCACGCAGTGGGTTCTTGGCCTTTATGATCCAAAATTCGATGACCCTTTTTAATGTGCGAAGCAACGCAAAGGTCGCACAAAAACTCGACTGGTTTTTTGGAGTCCTCAAAAATATTGCATTGTGTACATTTGTAAAGCAGTTCTGGTGCGCTGGACTCTTCGCAGGTACTACATAACTGAGTCGATTCACTATTTATAGCATTCTCCATTGAAAATAAAGTTCACTTCAACCTGAAAAAAAAGAGTTACATGGGCAAAATAGAATTGCCGTAAAATATTTGAAACAAGACAAAAGTAGCCGCGTACTGTGCAAATTGCAGAAAAGATTCCAATTAAACATTTTATGAAAAATAACTTTAAAATAGGTTCATATCATTGAACAAATGTGAAAAAAATTATATTTTAGTGTCTGCACACTCAACTACAAACGCGCATAATGTAAAAAAAAACTGGCGAGAAAAATCTGAAATATGTGATTTTTCCCCGGCTAATCAGACCAGACCAGCTTTTCCCGGCACTTTTTTTGATGCAACTTGAATTGCGTGTGAAAACTATTCAATATAAGGTATTATTTGACCCTTTCCAAAGTTTTTTCGAGGTATCAGAATTCGAGTGGGAAAAACACACCTAAAACCGGTATTCGAAACAAAAAGATGGATAGCAAACTTTGAACAGAGCAGCTTTTTATCCAGTGTTCTTGAGCAAAACAATTGCAGGAAATTTTTGAAGTCTACTTCGCTGCTCAAACGCTTGGAAATTATCTGTAGTTAATAATCTAAGAGTAGTCAAGAGCAATTAGTCCATTCATCTATAAATACTGCATATAAATTCATACACAGAAGCGAAGCGCAGCTTCGCACCACTTGGAACACAACATAAAATTAGCAATGCAAACTAGTAGACAGGAAGAGACAGCCACTAAGCCGAAAAAATAAGAAAAAAACGCTTCAAACAACTACAATTTAATAAAATTCAAAATGTTGTCTGGAATCATGTTCTGTAAGCGAAAAATACGTCCAGAAGCAGAATCGACGGCAATTAATGATAGCTCAAACAATAATTAAAAAGCGGCATCTGAGCCGACGATGAAACTTTCAGTATTCTTTAACTGCCGCCGATTCTTTAACAAACTGACCAAGCTGATTCAGCAAATCCGAAACCATGTAGGCCGAATCGAACTTTCAAGTGAAACAACGGGGAAAGATGCAAAGCCAGGGCTAGTAAAATTTAAATTACAGAAGAAAATCGACAATACTTGCAATTTCAGGGGAAAAGGCTTGAAGAACAAGAAAATTCCGCGACGTGTCAACCAAGTCGACAAAACATAAGCAGACAAGCGATAAAAATTTTCTCGGAAAAAATTCAGATTTGTATGAACCTGAATTTTTTTCCGGGAAAATTCAGATGAAAAAAAAATAAATTCCTGCAAGGACTCGGTACCCATACCAAAGGATGACAAAGCCACTGCATTACCTCCAGACCAAGTGAGAAGGACACTCCAAGATATTAAGGTTGCACAAAGCAAGCTCAATTTATTTCAAATTTATACGAAAAGTTTTTCCGGAAAAAATAGACTAGTTCTTGATTACAAGACACTTGCTCTCGCAAGTGTAATAATTAATCCTAAGACAATCATCTCCATTCTCGGTAATATTTCAAAAATATTAGCGAATTCTTAATCATTTTTCAACAGGATATCTCAAATCACTTCATCTTTTGGACAAAACTTTGAACTTCAAAATTTCCATTACTCAAATCAAAATATCTGTTGTCGTTTGCGGGTTGAACATTTTGTGGATTGTCAAGAAAATTTTCTGACTCACAACTTCTAGTTTTCTATTATCATACTTCTTATCAGCAAAACTTTGATATTCACCATCACAATAACTGTTCCATTTGCAATCAGTAATGGTCTTCTCATTGGTTTTACTTCAAATTCAACTGTTTTGCCCGGATTTTTAGTTTCACAGTTTTCACTCGTAACTTCATCAAATCAAGTCCACGTAATTGACAGAAGAGTAAATGCATTTCAGAACCTAATTCAAGGACATATAGGATAGTTAATAAAAAACTGTTTCCAGTATAGGTCCACATTTATCAAATTATGTTTTTTTTTGTAAATAACCCCCTTCAAAGAACCCGGTCTGAGAGATCGTCATTAGACAAATTATGCCTGTATTCAGACGTCTCTGAGTGCAAAAATAAATTAAAAGCTGGTTTGGTTTTTACATGGCCATAACTCTGGATTTAAAACTTTATTCATCTGACAGGTTATAACAGTTTTTGTTTTTAAAAAAAAACCCCATAATGGTAAAACCCAATTATAAAGGTAAAACCCAGCTTTTAAATACACTTAGGTTTGCTTTAAGAATACCGTTTCGTAATTTCGGTTTTTTGCAGGCCAAAGATAATTGCAGATAAGCATCTTCTAATTTCCTCAGCAGTTAGTTGCAATTAAATTCTATTCGTGACAACATTTCACCTTTTTCGTGTTCGATTTTCAAAACAACTCAATTCGCTATTAAGTCTGAAATTAAAACCCATTTTCGAAATTACGAGACGATCACGTTTTTAGTGACCTTTTCACTTTTGCTTTCACACAGGAAATGAACTGAACTTCAAAAGAAAATTAAAGTCAAACCTCGCAAAACCAAATGAGCCTGGCAAAATAAAAAAACAAAAAAACCAAATGAGCCTAATTTAAAAAAATCCACGAAATTATCATCAATTCTGAAGCTAGAAGTCGCAAAACATTTTTTCGTGCCACTTCTACTTCCGTAACTAGAGAGCTCAATTTGCCTACCAAATGAATTTGTATTGAGCTTGGACAAAAATCATATTGGACAAAAATCATATTGGACAAAAATCATAATTCGAAAAGCAAAAAATCAAAATGGGCTAGAAAAAAAATCAACACAGTCTTAATAAGTGTCTTCACTGCGTTCCTTGTTACCTAAAAAAACAATTATTCTCGGTGTAAAGTTTTGACAAAATTTCTAATTTTCGTTTCTCGTAAGAATTCATTTGAAATATTCGAGCTTTTAATTTAAATACGATCGAAATTTGTCAGTATAGAAAAATTATCCTAAATCGAGAATTTCGCAGCTCTACCATGATAACTCGGAAGACCTAAGTGAGCCCGTGTTTGTGATATCTGATTCAATGAAAGCCGTCAGCGATACAAAAATATCCAAATCTGAATTTCTTTCGACAGCGGTAAACGATAATGAAGCTTCATTAATATCATTCCAGCTTAAGAAATGAAAAGTGTACAAAAAAGTTGGCCAGTTTTTTTTTTGCATTATTTTTTTCGCATTTATTTTTTTATTTCGCGTAACCAGAAACAAAATTACCAGACAGTATCCACCAATTAGTTAAGACTTACCTTTGATCATTACTGACTACGAGTCAATTGCTTCTAATGTAAATGGATTTCATTGATAAATTGTGATTTCCAGGATGCAAACCAATTTTTACTTTGTTTACACCATACAGTATTTATTGGTAGCAACAACATGAAAGTCATGAACTATACGTATGGGTGCTGAAACTTGAGATTCAAATTTTCACAATTGCATAACATATCTTAGCTATACTTTTGAAAAAAAGTCAGTCTTCGGATATATTTTAATTACTAACGTAGAGTTCGACAAAACAATCAACAGAACTTTTGAAATCAGAAAACTTATCAACAATCAATTCGGTGACTGGTTCCAATTTCCTCTAGGCCTGTACGGGTATCTAGGCCTGTACGAGTACCCTCCTCGGCCTCGAGGAGAACCCTGGAAATCAGGTCTAGAGTATGGACCCCCTCTCGGAGAGTATCCTTGATGTCTAGGCTGATATTGACCTCTAAAACTTCCTGGGGACTGACGATGGTCTACGTCATGGCCTATTGTGCTTATGGGCTGAGCGTTCTGATTCTGCTGATGCTCCTGTTGCGGCGACATCTCAGAAACCGGAGCGGTCGGCACCATCGGCAGGATTTCGATTTTCGGCATCGGTAAGTTTACGTAAGATTCTCTACTTGGTAAAACTAATGGTTTCCCGGCTGAAAATTTTTCGACATCAATTTCATCATGGCGCATTTTAACATGAGCAACTAAGTCTCGTTCGCTGAGATAGGATCGCTCACATGGGGCGTTGTCCGGTGTCTGGAAAGGACAGATAAACACAGTGCTGTTTTGTTCAATTTTGTTAAATTTCTGGTTGCAGATCGGACACTCTTGACTGGTGATGGAGGCTGCACAGGTGACACACATGATATGTTTGCAGGGGATCTAAATTATGCCGAAAAAGTTTAATATCATTACAAAATAGAAAACAGTCTTTAACAAGGCACATCTAATTAAAAATTAATAATTTCGAATCAGGCCGCTACTTTGGTTCTCATAGCTGATTTGGTTGCTAAGACATGTTCATAACTGAGTTAATTGCATGCTCTTACATTTTTTTTACTTTAAATAACGCTAGCCTATAAAAAAACTGTGAGAGAAAAACGAGAAAAACTGTAAGCAAAAACGATTCAATATAAATTAAGAAGTAACTATTTTTCAGTTCGGCAGTCAGAAAAAAAATTCGAAACAAAAAAATTCTTTCTGAATGCTGCTAACTCCAAACAATTTTGTGATCCTTGAGCGCAATTGGACCATTTTAATTTTTTTGAAAAAAGCTAACAGACATTTGGACAAAGAGGCGACGCAGAGCTTCGCACCACTTTTGATACAACAAAAACAAAGCATGACTAACTACCAGCTAGAAATTGAGACGAAAGCCGCTCAGTCGAAAAAAGATTCGACAGAGAGGCAAAGCCGCGCTTCGCAAAAACTAGCGAAAAACACGACAAAAAAGCAGCTTTATAAAATGAAATGAAAGAAGATAGAAATAAGCCTCAAATTATTAAGACTTTGCTTCGTATGAGCTTCGAATCTGCAAGCTCGAGAATTGGAGTCTCACGCCCAGCCCTCTCGGCCACGAACACTTAACCGACAAACACTAGTCACAAATAGAGCAGCTACATATGCTAACAAATTTCCCATGCTAGGTAGCAAAAGTGGCACCAAAAACAATTAGACACAATTTTTCAAGAAATAGTTTGGAATATAACAAAATGAAAGTCATCCACACTAATTTTGCATGTAATAAATTGGAAAGCATAAAGCCACAGTGTTTAAGTTTTGCACTTCAAAAATTGCGATATATCTTGAGTTAGAAAACTTCTGACATCGGTTTTTGATATTGTTGAGTTGTTTGAAACAAATAACTAATTTAGGTTCATTTGATGAATTACAAAGGCATCAACCAGTTAACTTATAACTATTCGAATGTCAAAGCACATGCTATCAAAAAGCTGTAAAAGGTGCCCCACAAGTGGCATCAACATTTGCGACTTAGGTTAGAAAAAAAGGTCGTAGTATAACACTAACGCTCACTAAGTTCGCTAGTGTAAAAAAAGTCGAGAAAAGCTAAATCTACCATAATTTTCATATCTTTGTCACAATTTGTCTACGATAAGTTTCGTTTTCTAAAAAATAAAAAACATACCAAATCAGACAAATCAACATTAAACTTTACAGGAAAATATTAGGGAAGCGGAAACACAGCCGACAATTTTTTGAGCAGACACCCGTAAAGCCGAAAAAAAATTATTTCATGAAAAACTTTTTCTACAAAAAAAAAATTAAATTCCCCTTCAAATACTCGAATGCATAAAAAATACGTGTCCCTCATCAAACGACGAAATATGGAACAATTACGTCGATTAGGTATAAACCGAACACTTTCAAGTCGATTGAACAACAATAAGAAAAAAAACGAAAAAACGGAAATTATGCAGTTCAATTTAAAGAGAAAGTTCAATTTTTGCCAAAAAAAAATTTCGTTTTCATAAATATTCAAAAAATAATGAGTTTCTGCAAGGACTCGAGTGTCCCAGACCTTAGGGTAAAAAGGCAATCGCGTTACCCCTAGGCCAAGTGGGATTTGTCTTGAAGTTCAATGAACTTAAAATGTATCACCTTTGATGCTCTTTGAATTTTAAAAAATCTTTGATGTTTGACACATTTTTTTGCTAAAACTCACCCAAATAAAGAAAAAAAGATCAAAAGGTATTTTTGTATTCCGCTGAAAATCATAAAGTTTAAGTACTTTGAAAATTAAAATTTCATTCACGTTTTTTAGCCATTTTTACTTTTGTTATTAGAGAGTGTTAACTTCCTTCCACTTCTATTTCAAAGAAATCTTGTGTTTTATATGCAGATTTGAGAAAATTATTTATGATTCTGTTGGAGAAATTGTTTAAATGGAAAAGCTTAGCCACTGTATAGTTAGAAAAATGTCAATGAACGCAAGTAAACAGAAAAAAACTACAGACTTACCTTATGAAAAAACTTTTGAATTTCATAGAAAAAAAGATGGCCTTAAATCTGTTTGAATTACTCGAGCAACTTATGATTGACACTTCTTTGATTAAATTAACCCAATTGAGAAAACTAGATCAATAGGTAAAATAGGTGAAATTCGATAATTAAGTTCCAATTTCGAAATTAGAAGTCGATCAAGTTTTTCGTGACCTTTACACTTTCGCTGTAAATAGTGGAGTTGGCCTTCCGTTTAACAAAAGAAATGAACTGAGCTGAAAAAAATCAAAAGTCAAACCGCGAAAAATCAAAAACAAATTTTCAGACTTCTCGAAAAAAAAATCACACTTCAAAAGTATATGTTCCAATTTGACTCTACTTGCTAATCGAAAGCGTAAGAAGCAACCAAACAAACTCACGAATCGTCCGTGAAGAATGATTGGACTATTGCAACTACGACAGATGTTCATGAGAGGGCTCTGCACCTTGGTTCCGATCAGAGCAACTCGGCAATTGTGTCTGATCACATTCTGATTGGCCGCGGGAGTATTTGTCGGATGACCTTGAAATCCCACCGCAGCTGTGGGCGGAAACATAGTCTGCATGATGTAATCTGAAGCTAAAAACTTTTGAACTCGAAGTTATTCAAAGTCTAAAGTTTGAACAGTCGCGAAATTAAACACGAAGTTATTCAGAGTTTAAACTTTGACGTAGAGTCTAAAACAAAAAATTCACTAACTTTCTTTAGGCTCGTTATATTTAAGCTGCACTAAGTTAACTGAATAAAGTCATCTAGTCAATTTATTTTTCGAAATTCAGGCATGCATTTAAATTGTCAATCAGGAAAAATCAAAACACCAGGCATGCAACAATACTGCGCTTAAGTCCGGCTAATGGGGTTTAATTAGATTACGCTTAAGCATTCCAATTACATTTATTATCAACTATTTAAAAAAATCGAATGCAAAAAATCAAGCCTAAGGGCTGCCTGGCACAACTTCACTTCGACTAATTTTACTCCGGCTCATTAAATTATGGTGGCGTATCTAAAAAAAAAAACATTTCTACGGGATTCGAACCTATGTAGCTACATTTTTTAAGCCACTTTGGCATGGCCGTTTCCCTTCCATACTTTCAAGCATACTTTTTCTTAGACACAGGCAGAAAAGAATGCACAATGCTAGATATAGCTACATATGATGTGTAAGTGAATTGGATTAACTTTACACAATGTGCGACTTGGGCAAGAAAAAGTAGACTGACCGTGGAAGGCATGCAAGCTAGCTAGTGTAATTACCAAACAACCTGAATTAACAGTGGCTCCGGCTATCAATTAAAATCAAATTAAATTCGTATATTTCTGCTTTTTCAAAAAATCGGAATGATCATTTCAGCTGTTAAATATTAGGTTAAACAGATCATTGAACTCGAAATCAGGTCGACATAAATCTTGAAAATAAAATGAGTTTTGAGCTAACCCTATGTTATGTGAATTTTCAAATATATTGGCGTTAAATCAAATTGTTTAATATATAACACAAAGACGATGCATGCTAGCAAGCTATGAAAATGCCACTGCATTGCAGCAAAAGTTCCGCCAATTTGTTGAACCCGAAACTATACCAATTGAGTTGAAAAAAAAGTCAACAAGATATAACCCTAGCCTTTACTTGTGTTAACAAGAAAAAGGGAGTGTGGCGAATCAAGTAGCATAGAATTCTCTACTTGCTGATATCTTTGCAAAAAAAAGAAGCAGAAGTTTAACTGAGAAATTTTCAGCTTGTATTTTTTTCTATGATTTTTTGTTAATTCCAAATTGTCAATGATTGACTAGTAGAAAATGTGCAACCTGGATCGATAGGTAGTCCTTCGGAAAACCTAGAAACTAAAGCCAAATACTGAAACTAAATATCAGTTCACCTCATTGGCACATTTGTAAATGGGGAGCGCAATTTGTCTTCCAATAGAAAAACGAAGTGAATTTGAAGTTTGAAAACATAACAGAAAAATTAAACTGAGTTTCTTTTTAAAAATCAACTCGACCAACAGAAGCGTCTTGATTTGAAGCATTGACTGTTAAGCATGAAAAAACTGGCGCATTGAGGGAAAATCAACATGAGCAGATTAAAAGAACTTTTCCACATAAAGCCAAATAAGAACAAGGATAGCCGGTTGCTGCGCATGTAGCACAGAAGGTTCCGACCACATTTATAAAAACAGCAAAAAAATTCTCTTTTTCTAAAATTAAGGTCGCTGCTTGTGCGTGATGAAATAACTTTACAAAGGCGTATAAGTTTAGTCATTCAAGCATATTCGAACAAATTTCTGCAAAAAAAATTATAACAAAAACAATGAAAAAGTTTTGTCCAAATTAATTTTTCTTGAAAACGTTTGTTGCCAAGGAAGCAATAAATGAAGATTTCAAAACTGGTCTCCCTTTAGTAAAAGCAAGTTTCCTTGGCCTAGATGGCCAATCTTCATTTCGAGAACGTTACTTTAATCGCTCGAAATTACAACAAAATTCAAAAATTTCTCGCAGTTTTTCTCGACACTGAAAATTTTTTCATAGCGTTTTTCATGTCACGACTAGAAAGGCTTCAATATGTTTTTAACTCGACCCTTTCCAATGATTATTGTGCAAAGTAGTCCAGAATATTTCGGCCACAATTATTTTCAGAAAAATTGACCGTTTTTAGAGGCAACTAGCCTCAGCGACTATTTCCCGATCTCTCTAAACACTCAAATGACCATATTTTGCAAAAATTTTCAGAAGAACTTTATTATACACTGCTGGCAGTAAAAGTTCTGGCCCAATTGCGATGCTTCAGCTGCCTTGCGTAAGGTTGTTATTGGAATGGTTCAACTAAGTTCAAAGTGTCGACAGTGCTTGCAGATCTCAAATTGGCATTCTTTTTTTCAAAACCTTCAAATCAAACAAAGACTCCTTATACTTGTTCAGAAACACTGCTGCAAATAATCAGTTAAAAAATTACGAGACGGAAAATTAAATTCGATCTTCGATTAAAATATTCCATCAACACTCATCAAAGAACAGAAACAGATCCACAACAACTAATGCATCAGCAACTACTTCAGCATATTGTCTTTTAAAAACAATTGTTCATGTTGAAGAATTATCGGTGACACTAGTTCAGCAGACCACGAAAATGTTCCAGAATTTTGTTCTAGAATGTTCTGGAAGGTTAGTCAAAGAGACCGAATCCCATGTCATCATCGGACTCTTCCTCCGATTCTTCTTTCTTGGCTTCCTCCTTCTTGGTCTCGGCTTGGGCTCCTCCAGTGGCTGGCCCGGAAACAGCGGCAGATGCTGCTTGGGCTGCTGCCAGAGCTTCGGGGTCAGACAGCAGGGTCAAAAGACCTTCAGCCTAGAACACAGAGATTAGATTTTCCCTGACCTTTCGACAAGCTGTACAGCGTCTCTGATAAAAAATAAGGCGTTTTCAAAACAGCTTTTGCATTTGTTTAACTTAATGCAAAATTGTGTTGAGCTTTAAACCCAAAACACGGGAATTTACTGTCCCTTTTTGATTTATAAAGAGAACAAAATATCATTCTAGTACCTATTGTTGGATTGACCAATGCCACTCAAAAAACAATAGACAGTTGAAAAAGAGACAATGAACGCAAGTAACCAGAAAAAAAATACTAACTGTTTTTTGAAAAAAACCTCATCTTTCGAATTTAATAAAATAGATGCAATTGACGCTCTTTGAATTTCTAACACAATTTATGATTGGCATTTTTTTGATAAAATTAACTCAATTTGAGAAAACTGGATCATGAGTAAAATAAGAAACCTGATAATTAATTAAATTCCATTTTCGAAAGTAGAAATCGATCACGTTTTTCGTGACCTTTACACTTTTGCTGTTCGATAGCGGATTTTACCTTCCTTTTAACAAAGGAAATGACCTGAGCTTAAAAAGAAACCTTAAGTCAAACCGCGAAAAAGTAAAATTGAGCCTGAACAAACTAAGACTTTTCCCGAAAAAAAAAACAAAAAAAATCATCGCGACCTATATAAGCGTGTGTACTACTACTCTTTAACATAGATGCATCATTCAATCAGGCGAAAATTCAGGCGTTTGAGTACTTCCAAAAAATGTTTTCCATCTGCTTATTTGTGTTTTGAGCTCTCAAGCAAAATAACGGGATTCTTCCTCCCTTTTTACTTTTCTTAGAGAAAAAACTATCATACCGATACCTATTGTTTGGCTAAAAAAAAACAACTATTAACAATGAAACTCAAAACTCAAAGACAAATTTTCCAGGAGCAGATATTGCGAATATATTTGCTTCCTTACTCCATATTGGTGAATGTTATAGCATGTTCTAATTAAAAACACACCACTTGCTGGCCGATGAAAGACAATCGGAAAACGTTAACTAAATTTACCTGTAAGAGCCACCTGAATTAATAAACTAACGTCTCTTTTAAGAGCGTAATCCTTTGTTTTAGTTGACAAAATACTTAATCATTCATTAATTAATTTCAGCCTCAAAACGGAAGCTAGGTGGCCAAATTAATAAACTAAATGTTTTCCTTCTTAACTCGAAAGGCTCACTCCGACGCGTAAATCAAAGATTCGTTTCCACCTATAAATCTGACATTTATTGTAGTGGCGTGTTGTAACCTCAAGAATATCTGCGATTAGGTTTCGGGCTATTCTGGCGATCTGAAGAAACGTAGCACTGTTGTTGTACTCCACAAAATTAACAAGTTGTATCAATTAGTACTAAAATAACGTTCACATTATCACGTTGTTTGATCTGTTTGAAACAGCACGCCGTTGTTATGTCTATAGCACCGGCAACAAAAAACTCGTGAGTTGTTATATTACCAAAACCCATAACTTCAATGTTACTATTTTTGCCATAAACTTCCTTGATTTTAATCTGTCACCCTAATTTCAAATTAACCCTCGACCGTTTCAAAGAAAGTCGCAACTTTTCAACGTCACTATTGTACCAGATTATCAAAAGTTTTTATTGGTAAAGGCTCTGCAAGACATTACCAGCCGAAAGCAAACAAGCCTTCGTAAATTAGCGAGACCTTATTAAAATTGAATGTCAAAACCAAAACCCATTTTAACAAATTACGCTCTGTTCTCAACAAATATATCTTGAGAGGTAACACTTTCACTATTTTATTACAAGCTTTATTAACACGGTCTCGCAAAAGTAAATCCAGTTTAACTACTTCTAGAATTGAAGGACCAAACTTATTTATCTAATTTTTGTCTGTCAAAATTAGAATTAAATTAAAGTAATTGCATATCATCGACAAACTTGACACAAGTTACACATCATCTCACAGCGTCTGCATTCTAAAAGCTACAAGAATTGCTGCCGATTCTTCAAACAACTCCATCAGGTAACTTACACAAACAAATATCATTAAAAGATGTTAAACAAAATTCAGAGGGGCATTGATATTAAAAAACATCCCAAATCAGGAGGTCAAGAGTTCGAGACCCACACGGAGCTCACACTATCCAGTTACCTCATTCACAAAACGATTACCAATTTCCCTAAAATGATAGGAATAACAACAAATCAGGGAGTAATGTACTCGACAGTAACGATCCATAATTTCATATCATTTAATCATCAGTGAATTTTGGGAGGTAACAAGATTGCAAGAGAGCGCACATCCATCTCCAACAACAAGAACACTTGATGCAATTCCATTATATTTATTTTGGCAAGCCACGTGCTATCTACTAATTTCAATGAATGAACCACATCCCAGAAAACACTCCAACACCTCGTTGAAAAAATTCTTATATCTTCTTTCACAAAAATCTCGATCAGAAGAAACTCCCTTTCTTCCGATTAGATTGGAACAAACATTTTTAGCTGTCCTAACCACTCTACCTTAGTTGGAATTTTTTTCTCGGAACTCAGTTATTAAGAAGTTCAACAAGTAAACATGGGGACTTCTGGTTAAAATGACCTGGTTAATGAGACCCGGCGATGGGTGGCGGCAGTAGGACATTGAGCGTGATAGGAGTGAAATTAGGCCGTATGAAGCAACTTCCTTTGGGGTTATTCAGATCTGGAGGCTGTCTTAAGAAGTGAGTGCTACCCTGATTCCGATCGGAGGCTGTCCTAAGTGTGCTACAGTGGTATGGATCTAATTAAGAAAGCAGAAGTGCGCTCTCCTCGTTATGTTTGTTAACGTTGCTAGCGAGTTTAGATTGGGGGGAAGTGCAATATGATAAAAGTTAGTTTAGCCAGTTATAATAACAGACTTGTAGTTTTAATAAGGGCACTTAGAGAGTACAATTGACTGGCTAACCCCTCCCTACATCTGGACACAGTTATAACTTTTGGCTCCTCGACCTGGTAATGTTACTAATTATTATCATTTGGCGCTAACAAGGTGTAAATTGATATTTTAAATAACAAAATAACATTTGGTCAGCATTCTAAACTTCAAAGCGAAGTTAAACTTTGCCCATTTATCATATCACTCGCTTAACTTGTTTCCGCGCTTCTTGGCCCCTACAGCCACCCAACACAAAACAAACGACAACCGGCCGACCGATCTTCCCGCCCGAAGCGAGGCAGTTCATTTCGGCAACATATGGCCGCAACACCTATCATAACATTGTTACTAACAAAATATATGATCCACCATCGACTAAGAAACATATTTTCGAACCTCAAAACCCGCCCTCGCTCTTCACCCGATAATTTGGACCTAGCCCATTTAAGATTTCAGTATCTTCTCACTTTCCAAACTAATCCCAAACAGACTGCCCAATTCTGATCAGTGATTTTCCAAATACACTCTCAATATCCAACCAGATTATCCGCTTTTCATTACTCGCAGATTGCCCAAATTGAAAATCACCCATTTGGGATTGGGAAAATTTATTAAAATATTTGCAAATTGAAACTTAATTTCCTAAGCAACATTTGATATCTACCATTTCAGAAGACAGCCACAAAACTTAGCGAAAACAACTTTGAGAAACAGTTGAAGAAGTATTTTCAAAATGAGCAGCAAATCAGAACTGAAAAAGATACCCACTGCAAAACAGACAACCCGACAAAGGCCTCCTTTCAGACCCTATGAAGACGATGATCCCGATGATGACGTCTTTGAAGACAATCCCAAAAAAGCCAAGAACCCGAGGATCGAAACAAAAACCGTAAAGAACAAGGATACTGATGAACTCTCGTAAGACAATTTTTAATATATAACCCTCTATTCAATCCTGGAATTGGACAAAAACGATGTTTCCTTTCTATGAAAACAGAAAAACTATCTAAGAAAAATAACCATTTAAAAAATCCATTTCGAGAAAGATTGGACGGTCGTTTTGTAGCTTTTGATAGAATTTTGTGCTAACTTTGATTTGATGTTTACAGACCACTTAGTAAATTAACCAATCATACAAACTGATTAATGCTAAGTTTAACTTCAGGGAAATGGACGACGACGATGACAAAACATCTGGCGATTCTGGCAAGACTCCTTCATCGCTTCAGCAAATGCGAGCTCCCAAATGTGCCAGATGTCGCAACCACGGACACATTTCGGCACTCAAAGGTCACAAGAGATTCTGTCCATTCAAGGACTGCATGTGTGCCAAGTGCATGCTGATTGCCGAGAGACAAAGAGTCATGGCCGCTCAAGTAAATAGTCATACAGAAAACTTCATAACAAAAATCCTTCACAAGTAGCCCATATCACCAATTATTTTAGATAACGAAACTTTGGCTCGTACAAAATATCATAAACCGAACATAGAAAAAAAAACTGAAATTTTCAAGCTTGTGCCAAACTTATGAAAAAATCCATGTTATCCAAAAGCCAAATTATTTCGAAAAGATCCAACTTTAGCTCAAGGTGTCTCGTTTTATAGCTCAATAACGCAAAAAAAGCGTATCTAAAAATTTCTTCAAAAAAGATCGTCCTCAAAGTTGGCCCGTATAAATTTAATTAGAAACTTTAATCCTCATATTTTTCAATATCTGAAATGAAATATATCGAAAAAAATGCAAAACAAATTCCTAAATTAAGTTTGAACTATCACTTTACAACACTGAAAACATTTCTAGGTTGCTTTGAGACGACAGCAAGCGCAAGAGGAGAAAACCAGTTCCATCACTAGTCACTCGCCCCGTGCTAACTTGGAAGGTTATAACAGTCCAGCACATTCAGGACCCGGCATTAGTGGCCAAATTGGAGACATGGTATCGAGGGATCAAAGTGGGAGTGATTTGTTTAGCAGTAGAATCATGGGATGGAACTTAGGGCAGTCTAGGACCACACATAATAGCATGGGAGTTTCTTCGCTGGGTAAGGCATCTTCTTTTTTCATTTTAAATTTCAGGAATACCAGTTAGAACCTAGAATCCCATCCAAAAAGGAAAAAACTGTTAAAAACAATGATATTGGCCTTCGTTCTTTCAGAAAATCAATCTAAAATAAAACCTTATTGAAATACAAGAATCAACAACAGTGTCCGATTGCCGAATAAATTTTTTCAATTTGGATTATTTTGCGCAAATTCATACAAAACCGATCCAACCAGATTGTCGCGACCACAATCATCTTTGCAGAGTCATAGAAATAAAAACGACAAACATTTCTCCAAAAAGTTTGCATTGTTTTTTGCAAACTCAGATAAAAAATTTAGACCCAAAATTATGGTATTAAAGATTATTTTGCCATTTCAGACAACGCGAGCAGACTTGCCCTTCTACCTCAGACTTTCCAAAACCCAAACTCCAGTATAGCCTCAGCTACAATATCTCCTCAGTCTTCTTCTTCTGCCATTGTCCCTTTCGGCTACTTGGAATCTCTGCTGTCTGAAATGTTCCCCTTCTTCCCAAAAGACTACCTCTCTGTTGTACTCACACAGTGCAATCGGGACATCATAACTGCTACCAAGGTGTGCACTCAGCAGAAAAACAACTTAGTCCAAATGTACACCAGCCAAAGTCCAAATATAGCAGCAGCTACTATCAACAGTCTAATGCTAAACTTCATTCAACAACAACAACAGCAACAAGTGATCACAAATAGCAATGGATACCACAATAATGTCAATCATCAAGTTAAAGCTTTATCTGCCCACGCCAATCCTACTACGCTTATAAACCAAAGTAACCACAACACATCTTGCAATGGTATGAACAGTTTGCCGTCAATCAAGTCTTCAGACCTGTTTGCAGCCATCGGAAAACTGACCAACAAAGAAAGTCTGCACTTTTCAAGAGACTCAAAATTTGAAGAAGTTAAAAGAGCAGGGAACAAATCAGATTTTCCTCATACAAAAGAAACATGAGAACCGATAAACTTTTTTACTATTATATAATTAAAACTTTTGATATCCTAAAGAGTTGATTGTAGTTTGTTCTGTCTTCATTAAGCTTCGAGTCATTAGCCGATAAACACTTCAACACACGCGAGACTCAAATTTCAAAAATATAGCTAACAAGCTGTTGGATGACCAAGCTGTCAATGACCTCTAACTAAACGAAAAAAAATAATAATTTTTTGAAAATTTCGACATTGGAAAAAAAGATCACGTTGAAGCTCGCCGAATTTCAAGAACATTTTATGATCAACTTTTTTCATGAGACTAGCCTAGTTAGTGTAGATTAGATCAATATGTGGGAAATCTAAAAATTGGAATATTCTTTCGAACCAGAAAGTCTTTCACGTTCTGAGCGCTATTTTCGATTTCCTTATTGGAGAGAGTAATATGCCTTACTTTTGCAAATGCATTTTTATTGAATTCTTTTTTAAAAAAAGAAATTATTTGTTGACACCCATCGCTATAGCATGAAGATAATCCTGTACTTGCCAGAAACTTTTTCGAATAGCTAAGAATTTCAAGTGGTCGGCATATATGTAGGGTGCTAAAACCATGAGGACATCAGGTCGATCATTTATGACGACGCAAAACAAGCGGTCCTAGAAACAATCCTTGTGAACAACACTTGTGATTTCAAAAAATTTCACTCTGACGAATTGTTTTCGGTTTTAAAGATAATCGATGAGCATCTAAAAGAGACTTGTAAACATTGGAGTGGGTGGCTGTCAAGTTTCCGTATTAACTCAAAATGGGAATCTTCAAAGGCTTTTGAAAAACCAGCATAAAAATATGATTTCTGAACTCGGATTGTTATACATTGCTTCATCAATTCGTTTCAAAATGTAAGAAGATTAGTTTGAACCGACCTTGGCAAAATATGCTGACTTTTCGTTGAAAATCTGCTGAAGTGATTATACAAGGTTATGTATATGCATTTCTCTACGGTTTTACTATCTATATTCAGGAAAAAAATGACCTGTAAATTCCCACCATACTTCTATCTATTTTTTTATGAAGTGAAGACATTGCTACCATTTTCCAACTATCATAACTTTTGCGTAAAAGCTTAATGTTCTTTAGCATTGAACGTATAAGATGACATAGATTTCTGGACGTCTGAAGATAAAAACCTGGTGGTATTCCATTTGGGCCTCTTGATTTATTGTCATTTTTAGAGCTCAATGTTCGAGATATCGAAATTTCTTAAAGTCGGCGTACTTTGTTTAGGTTTATCTCCTTTTATCAGCGTTTTTGGTAGGCTAACTGCTTTTTTCAGCTTTTTCAAGTGTTTGAAAATGACATCAGAATCAGATGTTCCCTGTAGTTTCTCCTGATACGTTACCCTGTATTCCTCGGAGAATTGCGTCACCTGAATTTCCAGTTTTGCAATAAGATGTTTCCTATAAGATGTTGGTATGGTTTCCTACAGGTTTTTAGCGTTTTGAGTTTATTCATCAAGTTTGACGTAAAATTGGTTATCCAAGGTGGCAACAATTGTCTATGTTTTTTGGGAACGCAAAATTCAAATATTTCGTCTAGGTACATTTCGTCACTCAATTTTTATGTTGGTGTAGCATACGGCTTTGAAAGGATTTTCGTCAAGATATTTCTTTATGGCTTCAAAATCAGCGTTACAAAAACTTCTGAAATTTTGCATCGTTGGTTTGGCTTGATTTACTGTACATTCCATGAATATATGGTTAGGTAAATCATTTCCGGCTGATAGAAAAAACAATAACGATAGAAGGCTACATCCAAGATGTTATTTGAGCACGTTGGAAAATCAATCACTTATCTGAACAGTGATTGATTCCCGTTTGAAAAAAAAAACAGGTCATGTCAGATTCGAACCCAAGACCTTTGCCGTCACATGCTCATTCGTTACCTCCAGCTCAAGTGAATCGGAGAAGCAAAGAAACAGGATTTTATTATGAACTGAGTCCACATTTTACCATTCTGTGATGAACTAAGTTATTTACGGGAAAAAAGTCTAGTACCCGATTGCAACACCCTTGCTTATCGCAAGAGTAAAGAAGTGAACCTTTGAAAGGTTGTTGTTAGAAAAAATGAACAAAACATTGCTCAGAAACTCAATCTTTTCCCAGTGCACATAACATATCTGATTTGTTTTTGCAAAACTAACCTGTTTTATGGTATATTCTGTCTCAAGGCACACTGCGATCAATTTTTTGAACCCATTGACTACTGAGTGTGGCAAGGAAGCTTTCGTAGGGTAGTCCATTGCCAGAGACAAACTAGCCAAGTTGCCAAGTCCAATCGCAAATTTGGCCGCAATGTCTTCAGGAGTGATGTCCAAGATCTCAGGAGAGTAGACAGAACCCTGAACGCAGTTCATATTTATAAATATGTTAACTGATTTGAAATCAATTACTTCAAATTAGATACGAGACCTTACCTGGTCATAGACAGCCTGAATGACCAAACCATATGAGAATGGCGATATATTCAACATGTTCAGCAGAGTGGCTTCACTGGCTCCAACTTTTTGCCCTTCCTTCAGCAATTCGACCTTGTTCAGAATTTCGATACATCCTTTCGTGATCTTCGTGGGAATATTCAGCGCCTGGAAGAAAGAGGTCTTCTCAGGTCCCAAAGCGGTCGCTTGAGGAGGAATTTCAACCGCCAAAGGTGCAATTGCTCCAGCTCTTGCAGGTGCCTGTTTCCTTTCCTCGGTGATGACCTTCCTAACCTCGCCGAAATCAGTCTTCACGAAAACGAATGCAATGTTTCCTTTGACAGTCGGAAACATTCTTTCAAGGGATGTGAAAGCACCGCCGTTTTCCTGATTCATCAATCCCCTCAAAGCTTTCCTGATCATCGTGTTCTTTCCATTCAGCAGAAATGCTTTTCCTAAAATCAAGCTAGGTTAACAAGTCAAATTCTAGGTTGTGTCACTGAACGAAATAACTTTAAGAGAAGAGCACAATACCTCTTAGTTTAGTTCTGATATCCTGCATTTGCTTCGATTGGACATTATCAACTCCTACAATGAACAGCCGGTCGTTCTCTTGGAAGCTTGATGTAAGCATGCTAAATCGGGATTCTTTCCATGATCGCTTGTCTCCCTTCACCATTTTGATGTATGATGCGGTTTTTTAAAGACAGAAATTCTGAAAACTTAGCAAGATTAAAAATCCTCGCAGCTAATAATAGCCTTTACTTCAGCGTGTTACAGGCTTATTTCGGCATCAATTTCAATACACCATTTAGTAACAATTTCAATACCCCAAAGGAACTATAAGAACAAGCAAGCTCGTTTAAATACATGCCAAATTGCGGAGAATATTACGAAAGAAAATGGTCGCTGTTCCACAGAGAATTTTTGCGGGCCTTATAATTGTGTAAAAACATAGACAAGTTTAAACATGAAAGTTTAAACATGTGTGATAAGCCTTGATAGCATGAATAGCGTGACATTCGACCAGAAGTGCATGTCGGCGAATTTTTATTCGGAACAGTTCAGTGGGAGGATTTGATGTTTTAAACGATTAGTAGTGTTAATCGTTGAATTGAACGAATACGGAGAGATCAATTTAGATTGACCAAACAATTTTTAAATTTTCAAAGTAGGCGTGAATGACACTTAACAATTTTCATTACAGCGAACATTGAAACCGCTAAAATCAGAACAACGATTTACGCTAAAACAAACAAGACGTACAAGAAAGGAAAGCGAACGACAGTCATAGTTGTCGATATTTACGGAAGAACATTCCGAATTGTAACGATTGCACAGCTACAATCGTTACGGACCGACTCCTGAGAACTCGGACTACTGGGCTTGCTTTCTCTTTGTTACCAACAGGTTTTTAATGATCTTGCTCTATTCTGCAAGCTACTACATCATTATAATTTTGATATTTGGAACTACGGCCAAACATCTTGTTGCACCGTTCCCTTCGAAGCTCCAAAGTTGTAACATTCGCCCGAAGTAAATATCGACGGAAAATAAATGTGCCATTCTGCCAGATTGGCACAGCGCAACCTTCCGACGAAGCACAAATTAACTACGGAAAAGTGTGTGCCAGTCGGTCATATTTGGAAGTTTGACCTTGAGAAAAGCAAGAGCACTTAATTTTGGGGTGAAATTTAATTTTTCAAAAATTCGAATGGAGCCTGTCATGCACGATTTTCTCGCGATAACTGAAAACCGAAAAAGAGAATTCAGAACGATCGAACAACAATCGCGGGAAAGTTGCTAGATAAAACAGTGGGAAATTGCTATTCGCAATTTCTGTCGGAATAGAACGAGAGTAGAGCTGTCCCATCTGAAACAGAGACAGGCGTATTCCCGAGAACTGGATTATTATCACTCGATTGGATTATTATTTGAACTGAACTAGAGTGAAACTTCGGTGGAAAGGTGGACAGCTTGAGTGTCCCAATGGTTCACGAGAAACTACATCCTAGAGTTAAAACTTGTCCTTGTCATTGAAACATTAAAACTCATTTAGTTACGTTATTTAATTCTCGAGTTAATTACCGACTGAAGTACTTCCCTTTCTTGAGTGTGCTACGATGTGAGTACTTAATTTAAATTTCTAGAGTGTGTTTTATGATTGTTATGTTGAGGTAAGGCGAGTTTTAGGTTGATCCATCTGAAATGGATCAAAGTTCCACTGTCTAATAAAAAGTAACTTAACGGATTGTTCCAACCCGGTTTTTAACGGCGTTCATGTATTTTGGGTATCTAGAGACCTGAGTATGGGGACGTTATTATTTCTAGAGTGGGGGGGATATTTTGGTAGTAGCCTTTAAGCTGTAACGGGTCGTGGTCTCATGTCACAAGCGAACCGAATTGGCTCCGACTGATTTGAGGTGGAAAAACACAAGAGATAGTGTCCCTGACTCTTGAGCCAATGGTTATACGGCCTATTTTTCTTAAGCCTCATGTGTGACTACAGTAGACGAATGTTACATAGTGTTTTTATGGCGCTCCTGGGTGTTTACGACATCAAGACTACGGAGTCGAACCCACTTGAGACAGCTTCGGGCTGAATGCCCATTCTAGAGTACCGGTGGTACGGTTCGGCAGGAACCTGCAAACCTTCCGGTTGTACCGTGATAGCTTTTTAAGAAAACTCGAGAAAACTTCCTGGTACGCTCTCCGAACGAGGCTTAGCTAACCGAGTAAAAGGGGGCACCTAGGGGGACAAAAACACGAGCAAAAAGACAAAAAGCAAAACAAAAACCAGAAAAGAAGAGAAAAAGGAACAAAAACCATAAAACGAAAAAAGACAGTGACTTTGACACCAGATTAGTTGGATCAAACCTTTATATTAATTAAATAGTATACCCATACTGTTTTACAAGTTCGATCGTTTCGATCAACCTAGCAATTTAACCCAGTAACCTGAATAAAGTGCCCGAGTGTGGGGCGTTGTCAAGGGTTTTCAGATAGCTTGGAACTTAGCTGGACAACAAGGAGACTTGACTGGAAGAGGTGACCAGCCGAGTGGGAAAGTCGTTCAGTAGCACTTGAGCTGAACCAATAGGAGACTTGACTGGAAAAGGTGACCAGCCGAGTGGGAAAGTGGTTCAGGAGCACTTGAGCTGAACTAATAGGAGACTTGACTGGAAGAGGTGACCAGCCGAGTGGTAAAGTGGTTCAGGAGCACTTGAGCTGAACCAATAGGAGACTGGACTGGAAGAGGTGACCAGTCGAGTGGGAAAGTAGCCAAGAAGGATTTGGCAGTTCTCGAGTTCTCAAGTTGGGCAGAACGGGTATCGTTAAAATCCACATTATATTATAGGAGATAAATGTAAAATTGGATAAGCGAAATCCCCCGGTTTTGAAGAACGTTTTTACTTGAGCAGGCCTGGAGACAGGTCTACGGTTTTCTCTTGAGAGGTTTAGCACCCGGCGCTTAAGGTAATTTTAGGCTTAAGAAGGGGGGCTAAAAAGGGGGGAGGTTAGAAGGGGGCTGGTTAAGTTAGAGGTTGGCGGTTATAATTTGTAAAAAGGGGGGACACATTAGAGTAACTAATTAGTCGACATCGTTGATTTAGTTACACTAGTCATTTACACGCGTTGGTCATAGGAAGCGGATATCCAAAATTGGAATTAGGTTAAGGTAGGGGGGAACGGACATAGACAGTTTTTGTGATACCCCATAAGATCGCTAGCAGGGGGGAAGGAAACGCGTGGCAATAGATACCAGACATTTGTTCGATAGAAGGTAGACATTTGTCACCTTTGAATTTTAGGTGGATTCATCTTTCTGTTTTTATTACTTTTTCTTGCTTAGATTTTTGTTGCATTTTGGTAAGGATTTGTGTTTGGCTTTTATACGAACAGGTGATCACAAGATACCTGCGCACAGGTTTTGGTTTCAAGTTGCTTGGAACATTGAAAAAGAGGTAACTAAAAAAGGGGGGTCAGTATTTGGCCACTAAGAGAGGGTTTTTTGGGAAAACTTTTACTAGAGCTTGAGTGGTGGTACAAGGTACAGTGAACCAAGAAGTCCCCATAACGAGGAAGAAAGAGGTCTCACCAATCAGACACTTGTCAACAGTCTTGGTACAGTGCAGTCCTGGACCAGAGCAGTCTTGGGACAGTGGTCTTGGGACACTAGCCTTGGGACAGTGGTCTTGGGACAGTGGTCTTGGGACAGTGGTCTGGACAGTGGTCTTGGGACAGTGGTCTTGGGACAGTGGTCTTGGGACAGTGGTCTTGGGACAGTGGTCTTGGGACAGTGGTCTTGGGACAGTGGTCTTGGGACAGTGGTCTTGGGACAGTGGTCTTGGGACAGTGGTCTTGGGACAGTGGTCTTGGGACAGTGGTCTTGGGATAGTGGTCTTGGGATAGTGGTCTTGGGACAGTGGTCTTGGGACACTAGCCTTGGGACACTAGCCTTGGGACAGTAGTCTTGGGACACTAGCCTTGGGACAGTAGTCTTGGGACAGTAGTCTTGGGACACTAGCCTTGGGACAGTAGTCTTGGGACAGTGGTCTTGGGACACTGGCCTTGGGACACTAGCCTTGGGACACTGACCTTGGGGCAGTACTCTTGGGACAGTCTTGGGACAGTGGTCCTGGGACAAGGGTCTTGGGACACTGACGGAAAGTACTGGGACAGTACCGAACAGTCTTGGGACAGTAGAAAAAAAAAACCTGGGACGGTACAAAGAAGAGTAGGGACTGTAACTGGAAGTCTTAGGACGGTATAAAAATTGAAGTAAAATTACAATAAGTGTTTGAGACAGATTTAAAACAGAACCCGGTAAGGTTGAGACCACAAATAAAGAAAGTTTCAAGAAAGGTTTTTATCACGTTGTATATTTCCTTTTAAGAATTCTTTTCCACAAAAGATTTTATTCGTAGAATAGGATTGTGTATATAATAATTTTGTAAATAAGAGCAATTGTAAATAGAAATAATGAGACGGAGTAGGGTACCGGTGCTCGAAAAAAGGTCAAGTGGATCAAACACGAAATATAACTCGTCGCTGCGCGGAACGACATCAATGGGCCCAGGCAAAACGAAAGATAACTTTTCAGTTAGCATGGTCAGCACGAGGAGTAGTACCGAGAACAAGGCGCGAGAAGGTGCTAAAGACAAACAGGTGGAGCCCACAATTGAAATCGATCTAGAGACACCAGACCAGAGCGTAGATGAAGTGGAGAAGAAGACTACGGAATCCACACCGATGCCCCATATGGAAGATCAAAATCCAAAAACCGTGGAGTTTTCGCCGATAGACGCGTTGGAAGACACAACAGGCAATACGGTGAAAGATGACTCTCAAGTAAAGAAAACATCTTTTACAGAAAAGTTGGCGATGATGGTCGGAATGAAATCGAAGGACAATACGGCCGAAGAATCAAAAACTGAAAGAGCACGAACATTTGGGACAGTGAGCGCGAAGGCGACAGAAGCCGACCTAAAGGAAGAACAAGCCAGAACAGGAGCGACAGCCGACCGAAAACAAGATAACTGCTGATTATGAAACAGCTACTCTTGAGCTTGGCGACCTGATGACAAAATTAAACCAGATCGACAAGAAACTAAAGTACAGTGAGGAAGATAGAGACTTAATAAGGAAAGAGTTGAAATACAACAAACACGAGTATCTGGATAGTTATTTTAACCTGGCAAAGGCGACAGACGAGAG